TAAAACTACAAAACACAAAAAGTCAAAACCAAGTAAAGAGTAACAGGAGTTTCCCATCAGTGTTGGTTGTGTTGCCCTCTTGCAAAATGACAGGCAAAATCGTACTTGTTCTTACACTTGCACCCACAGATGTTACACTGGAAAGGGTTTTCATACCCGTGGCACCCCATGTGAATGGTGTAAAGGATGTTGTCAGCAAAGTACATGTCACAGTGCTGGCAGTGGTGCAGGAGCTGCGGGTCCTGGGCCGGCAGGGCTGGAGCAGGCGTGCTCGGCTGGCTGTTTCCCAGGCTGGGTGTGCTCGTGTGCGCACTCGGCTCGCTGCTCGGCCCAGCCACGGGACTGTAGTTCCTCTGGCTCTGTGACGGCCGAGGCTCAGGGCTGGTGGGGGAGGTACTCTGAGGGAGGCTCACGGACACAGCCGCGACCACCGCCTGGGCGGAGGGCTGCTGCATCAGGAAAGGCTTCTCATCCGGGCAGGGCACTACATCGGGGGACGCGGGGTTCGGGTTTTCAGGTGGCAAACTGGACAGCTGTCCTGCGAGAGTGGAGAGCTGATTTAAAGGGTTGTCGACCAGGAGTTCTTGGGGGTCCCTTGGTAAGCCTCCAGCAGATGTGGTCTTCGCCATACTTTCATAGGAGTCAGTCTGGATGCTGGGGATTTCGTGGGTGAAGTCGTTAAGGTAGTCTGGCTTCTGAACCACCATGGAGGGTGGGCTTAAGTTGATGAGTGCTCTTCGGCTATAGCCCAGATTGCTTGTTTTCTTCTGTAAAACCCCCCACATTTTCTTGCTGCTTAAGGAAGACCTAGCACCTTTAATTGGTACCATTTTATGCTTGCGCCTTCGATGATGGGACAGGTTACTTCGATCACTGCAGCGGAAGGAACATAATTCACATTTGTATGGTTTTTCTCCTGTATGGGAACGCATATGGGCTTCCAGATGACGCTCATAAGCAGATGCAAATGGACATAAGTGACATCTATGAGGTTTTTCACCTGTTGAAAAAGAAAAGTGGAGGAGACATTGCAAGAGGAGCTCATTTATGTCTAGTTTCATGTTTTGTCCATTCATTAGATTTGAAATTGATCAAAAATAAAATGCTTGCCCTGGCTGGCGTGGCTCAGTGGTTAGAGTGTCAGCCTGTGCACCGAAGGGTCTCGGATTCGATTCCAGTCAAGGGCACGTACCTGAGTTGCAGGTCTGATCCCCACCCCCGGATGGGGCGCGTGCAGGAGGAAACCAATTGATGTGTCTCTATCACGCCGATGTTTCTCTCTCTCCCCCTTCCACTCTCTCTGAAAATCAATGGAAAAAATATTCTCACTCCTAGGGTGAATATAAAATGTTTTTTTAAAAAAAATGCTTTTCAGAAATTCACATTTGCACAATATGTCATTAGAATTTGTAAAGAAACCTGCAAACAAAGCTTCAGGACTCATCAGCAACAATTTGAGATACACAGGTATGTTCTATTAGTCAATATAGTGTGAACATTTTACAGCTTCCACTGGCATTTGAGGAAAGAAGAAATAGCACAACTGACCATAACATTTCCCACATGATGACAACTTTACCAAAAGGATGCCCCAGAGTTACATGTTCATGTATACATGACCCCTATTCACACATATTTACACACACACACAAATACCCCTTCCTCAGGAAAAAAATACATAAACCTTTTTTTTTTTAATCCTCACTGAGGATATTTTTTCCATTGCTTTACAGAGAGTGGAAGGGGGAGAAAGAGAGAGACACACACATCAATTGGTTGCCTCCGCCATTCACCCCAAACACAGGGCCGGGGATTGAGCCTGCAACCGAGGTATGTGCCCTCGACCAGACTCGAACTCCAGACCCTTTGGTCCACGGGCCAACGCTCTAACCGCTGAGCCAAACCGGCCAGAGCTACATAAATGTCCTCTTATCAAATGGAAAGTTGAAAACTGAAACAGGTTCGCTAGTCCAAGTGTGAGCTATGCAAAGTGTCTCTTCGAAACTGCCAGCCTCACCTCTACCTTCCCCCGCCACTTCCGTGGCCAGAAGGGACATTTTAGTTAGTGCTGTTAGTTGAAGATGACCAAACATGTAAAATAAATATCTGAAATATGAGATTTGGGGTCATTCATTTAACAACAAGCACAGAGTACCTACTATGTGTCAGGTGCTCTGCTGGGCTCTGGGGGCCCAAAGATGGCGATGACACAGTCCGTCATCAAGGTTTTCAGGCCACCACACGGCGTGGGGAGCCACTGGGGCACAGAGGGACCCCCTGACCGGGTCTGGGCCAGGACAAGGTGTAGTCAGGAAGGTTGCACAGCAGAAGGGAGAGCTAAGGTGAGACATGAGGATGAACAGTGTAGTCTGCAACCATAAAGAGACCCTCTCCCTGGTCTGAACAGAAACATCCTTAGTGAAGATAAAGATAGAAATGTGATTATCACTTCCTGTTGCCTTCAGCATGAACGTGTCTGGCCTGAGAAGCAGGCAGGTGTTGAGAGACTGTGTGGATCAAGGAGAAAGGTGACTCAAGAAGGGGGAAGCTCTGCGAGGGCCTCACTTCCCGTCTGTATGTCATGCTATTGCTTTGTAAAAATGGAGTAACTTCCCCATTTATTCAAATCTTCTGCCAACCTTCACCTTTAAACCACTAGAACTACTTATATGACGATCAGCCTGCCCTCCTGGCCCCTCCCAGCCCTCTCCTTACCTGTGTGGATTCTGATGTGCTCAATCAGCCGGGCCGTCCCTTTGCTGGCATAATTGCAATACCGACACTTGAGCTTCCCATCAAAGGTCCTTTCGAACCCATCTACTAACATTCCTGAGTTTTCATCCAGGGAAACTTCAACAGAAGGGTGATCAAGTCCATTCTGATCACCGTCTGTTCCAGCTATAAACAAAGCATAGCAAAAGAAATTACGCATCTCAGAATCAACTCAATATAGCATTTTAGTCTTAACTGGCAGAAAATCTTTTATAAAATGGTAGTTTACTTAGCTTACTTACAAATTTTTATCAGTTTCTACATGCTTTTGCAGAAGAGAAGAGGGCACTGCCCTTGAGACAGGTGAGGAAACAGGAGTGACCAGTGGTGGCAGCTAAACACACGTGTAAGGCTCTACCCTCTTCTATAAATATAACTGGAAGTAATGAAAGTCTCCCAAAATCCTAACTCTACTTACTTTATAGCCTAAACCAATTAATGTGGAGTTTTGCTCCGTTCCACTCATTTGTATGTGTCCTAGAGTCTGGGTTGCATTTAGAATCTTAAAATTCTAATTAAGCACATAAAGGAAAAGACTGCATTTGATTCCTTCAAATGTTAGAACTGTTAAGAATTTGAGAGCGCTCTGCTCTTTACCTAATCCGACTGCTTCTTTGTAGAAGGGCCTGAAGGGGCCAGTGCTCACGATGGGGAAAGAGCAAACAGTGGGGATGACTGTGGTCTCCTGACTCCCCATCCGGCAATCTGAACACTAGTGTCTACAGGGAAATTTTCACGCCTGCAGCTTTGAGGGAAAAGCACTTCTATTGCACTCCCCGGAGGCAGCAGCGCTGGCGTGAAGAATTCAGGCGGCACCCTCCCGGGGGAGACACAAGCTTGCTGGCTGGTGCACCTCCAGCCGCTGCAACGCCACTGCACTGGACGCCATGAGGCTCAGTGCCCCTCCCTCCCGCTGCTGCCCAAGCCCAAGACACTCAACACCTAAGTGTGTATGAATCACCTGGACAGCTCACTAAGATGCAGACTCTGATTCAGTGGACTTGAGGTGGGGCCTTACGGTTTGCATGTCTAACAAGCTGGCTGGTCTCTGAACTACAAGTCCACAGACCATCTAGGTCAAGGGCCAGGCAACTTTTCCTGCAAGGGTCAGACAGCACATACTTCAGGCTGTGGGGGCCACATGGTCTCTATCACAACTACTCAACTCTGCAGCTGTGGTACAAAAACAGCTACAGAAAACAGGTAAATAAGCACGTGTGCCTAGATTTCAATAAACCTTTACTTATGGGTGCTGAAGTATGAGTTTCATATAATTTTCACGTTATGACATTATTTTTCAGATTTTTTCCCAACTATCTTTAAATATAGAAACCACTTAGCTTGCAGGTGACAAAGAGATGGTTAGCGGTGCTGAGGGGGCTCATGGCTACAGTGCACGGACCCCTGGGTGAGGGTCAGACTCAAATGCCATTGGGCGTGGAAAGCAGACTAGACAGACACAGTCTACCTGCAGTGGATCTTGGCTTTCTCCAACCGTTTCTCCTCCTAGACGGGTAAACATGGCCTGCCCTTTCTTCATTTTAAGAGAGAAGAAAAGGAAACCCCCATTTGTCTCAGGTCTAACCCAGATTTCCTAATGTGCCCTTTGTGTGCTAAGCTGATGCTCGACCCCTTTGGGTACCTGTGTCTCTTGTTACCAGAACCCCTGCTCTTCCAACAAGACCATAAAGCAGTTCTCGGCCATGAGTGAAGCCCTGGGGGTCTCCCTCTCCCTAAGCAAAAATCTGACATGTCCAAAAAAAGAAAAATTTGCCCTGTATCTTTTTAGGGGAAATGGAGCGGTTCCCATCAGGGAATAACGGTTTCATAGTATGGACAGCTGCACACAAACACTCCTAGGTTTATAAAAGTGAGTTATCAATAGTATTAAGATGAGTCTACCTCCCTGAAGAGCCTCTGCTTCCTTGTCCCCACTCACGGACCCGGAGATCATGTTCACATGGTGCGTCTGCTGTGTCAGGTACTCCTGGAAATCCTTTACGAAGTCCAGAGGCTCTGGCTTCTTCTCACCCATCTTTGCCTTTTTTTTTCTTTTTAAGTTTACAGTTCGTTATACCTGGGGGAAACAACCGAAAGAATGTTACACTACTTGGGGAGATCCAGTACCTATTAAAACAACAACAGCGACAAAGCACCACCGCAAGGCGCCATGCGGAGCAACAGAGAACACAGTCCCTGCTTTAAATACTGTATAATCTTCCTGCAGAACCAGAGAAGACACACAAAATGGTGAAAAATTAATGTATTTAACAATGAAATTAACTGGGATTCGAACTTAAGTCTTAGAGGCTGGAAGGAAATTACAAAGACTCTAGGGTAAGGAGAAAATAAGCCCAGGTGAAAGAAACAGGCACGTCAGCCGGGATTATCAACAGCGAGTAAGGAAACCAAGTGGCCCACCAGGGGTGTCAGCAGCTGCTGGATGATGGCATGTGGCCCATCCACATTAGCCAATACAGTTGCTGCCAGCTGCATATAGCTACTGAGCACTTCAAATGTGGCTACTGCAGATGATGTGAGTTTTAAATTTTATTTAATTAAATTTAAGTTGCTGGCCCTGCTCAGTTGGTTGGAGCATCGTCTCATACACAAAAAGGTGGCGGGTTCGATTCTCAGTCAGGGCACATACCCAGTTGCAAGTTCAGTCCCCAGTCGGGGCACATCGGGGAGGCAACCGACTGAAGTTTCACATCAATGTTTCCCCCCTCCCCCTCCTCTCTCTCAAATCTATTAAAAAAACAACAACACTGAAATAGCTCCACATGGCTAAGGAATATCATTATGGACAGCAAAGGCCCTAAGTTCACAGGGTTCATGTGAATGAGTGCCCCAGAAATCGGTGATCTAGAACAGGGGGTGGCAGACCTTTCTGTAAGAGGCCAAACAGTAAATATTTTAGGCTTTGCAGGTCACGCAGTCTCTGTCAAAACTACTCAATTTTGTCACTGTCGCTAAAAGCAGCCACACACAGTATGTGAATGAATGAGTAGGCCCATGTTTCAATAAAACTATAAAAACAAGCACTGAGCCGGTTTGGCCTACAGGCCACATTCCCCACCCCTGCCCTAGAAATCCAGAACCACCTGCACCACCACTCACCCCCTGCTCACTATGAGAGTGGGAGGAAATTAAGAAAGAAAAGAAAAAATCCCTGATGCTGACAGAGTGGACAAGTCCCATGTCGGATTTTGTAATCACAAACTAAACGGGTCTTCACATCGGTTTATGGCCAAATTCACAAATCAAATCTCCAAACAGTTTTCTAGAAAGAACAAAATTAGGAAGTCCAGCACCTAAAAGGCAAAAAGTCTTTTCTTCCAATAAAAATATTTTTATGCAAAAGCAAAACGTTGTGAAATGAGAGGGTTCCATTCAAGTATTTTCCAATTCGCAAAAGCTTGACCGACATTTTAAGAACCAAAACTCCTGTTTTAATTGGTTAACTTGATCACGTTACTGCTATAGATCAGTGGACTACATCGTGCAGCGCTGGCCTTGGGAACCAGGGAAGAACCACCAGGTCTGTTTCAGTCGCTTTTTCCCATCTTCCCATGTTTCCTTGAACTGGTTCTGTTTCCTCATCACTGTATCACTGTATTACTATTTGTTTTGTGACTACAGTTGATTCTACTGATTATTTGTCCTTTAAAATTTGCCCTTTGGTTAAAGAAAAAAAATGTGAGCCAGTCCACTCCAGTGAAAAAGATCATTAAGAATGAAACCAAGAACAACAGATAATCATGTTATATCTCAGTAAAACTGAGGGGGACACAACTCAAAACACAGGGCAGTGGGGAGAACTGTGAAAATATGCATGAAAAGGCGAAGAAATCTAGCAGACAGAAGTGTCGAATGAGTTCCAGAAAGAGAAAACTAAACAAGAGAAATGGTTTTTAAAAAATAATGATCATGCCCGGACAGGCGGGGCTGAGCAGCTGAGCGTCGGCCAAGGATCCAGGAGATTGGGTTCGATTCCCGGTCAGGGCGCAGGCTCGGGTTGCGGGCTCCATGCCCAGTCAGGGACATGAGGAGGCAGCCGATCAATGACTCTCTCTCATCGTTGATGTTTCTATCTCTCGCTCCCCCTCTCCCTTCCTCTCTCTGAAATCAATAAAAATATATTAAAAAACAAACAAATAAATAAATAAAATATAATGATCAATAAATTTCCAGAATTAGAGATCTCTCTCAGAAGGAATGGGACCTGAAGTATAAAACAGGACATATGACGACAGACACATTACTGTGAAATGTGAAGACCTCAGAAACACAGATTACACAACACTGTCTAGAGAGAAAAGACAGTCCACCCACCTAAGAAAAAGTCAGCCTGACACGGGGCACCAACTGCAACCTTAGGGGAAAGACAACAGCAGCAAAACCATTTATTCAAATTTAGAACGTTTTAGCTTCAAGTTGATAAAGGATGTCTTCCAAAACTCTGTCACAATCAATGGAGAAAATTCAGACACATTGCCTTTAGAATCAAGAACAAGACAAGAGTCGGGTCAGCGTGGCTCAGTCATTGAGCATCGACCTATGAACCAGATCATGGTTCACATCCTGTCAGGGCACATGCCCGGGCTGCAGGGTTGATCCCCGGTACGGGGCATGCAGGAGGCAGCCGATCAATGATCCTCTCATCATTGATGTTTCTATCTCTCTCTCTCCCCCTCTCCCTTCCTCTCTCTAAAATCAATAAAAACATATTTAAAAAAAAAAAAGACAAGAATACTTGCTATTGCTATTTTTTTAATTGAATTTATTGGGGTGACTGGTTAATAAAATTATGTAGGTTTCAGGGATACAATTCTATATACATCACCTGTATATTGTACTGGGCTGCTGCTATTTAACATAGTACTGGAGGCAGAGGCCCCCACAATAAAAAAAAGGGAAGAAAGAAATCAAGGAGAAAGAAAGACAAGGTATGAGGATTGGGAGATTAAAAACCACGATGATGATGTTAATCTGGGAAATTGTCTTATAAACTGTAAAAGCTGTAAGGTCCTATAGCTTGTCTGTGTTCTACTTGTAAAAGTTATAATGAAGAAATGCTGGTATTTACCTTGCAACTTAGCATCACTCCTAGCCAATCAGTTTACAACAAAACTGATGTTTCCACTGGAAAATATCTAAATGTGCTTTGACCGGCTTCAATAAGCAAGATAAGCCTTACCAAATCCTGAATAAAAAGCGTAACACTGCTCGGATACGAGTGACAAGACAGAAAATGCAGGAGACTGCCAGCAGGCACGCAGAAGAAAATGGTAATTTTACACATGCATCTCAAGTTTTAAGAACATAAATGAACCTAATCACAGAGGGTAACTGGCCCATTTTGACAGTCTTGGCTATTATCACACTGTCACATTATAAATTTCACTGTTTTCCCTGCCATAATTGCGTGCTAATTTTCAATCATAATGCATGGTGGACTTAAAAAAAAACAAATCCGAGACCCAGGGATGCCAATGGGAAAAAAGGAAAATAACATTGTAAACGTGAAGGAAAACAATTTTTAGAGTTTTAAATATATTGATATGGTTTATAACCTCAGACCTCTCTCTTTGTAACAAACATACGCAGACACAGACATACACACACGCACGTGCACAATATGACAGGCCCTTGCACAGCTCTAGTCCCTGGAGGCTGTGAATGAAAGATGCCGAAATGTGAATGGAGTCTTTGGTTCAAGACCCAGGTTTCTCCAGCTCAAGTCAGTATATCCAAGCACGATAAATAGAAAACAAACACTAATTCTGAAGCAATAGAAAGCTTCTTGACATTGAAAGAAAATACAGATTTTATACCCAAACCATCTGTCTTCAATAAAGTACTCAACAGTCTCAGCACTGAGAGTTTAATCTAAGAAATCCATAATTAACTGATATCTGGAAATGCCTCTAAAACACTGATGAATTTTAAAACCTGTGCAAAATAACATAAAAAACTGCTCTGGAAATCAGCAAACGATAATGTTTTTATTGAAAGTATCTTTCCTACAAGCCATGAATTCAACACCTTGGAGCTTGTTAGCCAAAAAAATTATACATTTCAATGTGTAAAATTATGCCATCAGAAAAAGCAGCATAGTTAAGAGTTCTCCACGTATAGGATAGATTTGGGTGATATATTCCAAGCCTTATCTACTCTTTCTGTAACTGATATCTAATTATATCAACCAAAGGGAAGAATTTCCCCTATACTTTATGATAACATTCCTTACGATACAGCAAAATTTCTGAGTTTTCTCTGTGGTTACTCTGATTAAAGTTAAATCGGGTACTCCATGGTGTGTAGGTATATATGTACATAGAAACTGACTAGAATAAAATTCAATTATTTTTATGTCAATAGCTTCTCCCAAATTTTCCATTCAAGGCTCAAAAATAAGGTTCTCTCAAAACAATCAGAGGACACTCACGCCAGTGAAAAAAAAAGACATTTCTGAAATAAGCTTTGATATCCCAAGAACATGAAGACCTCTTTTCCTTAAGCAGGTAACTAACTATTCTGACCTTTCTTTGGTTTCTGATGAAGGATTTATTTGCATGATATCCTCTGATCTTTCCTCTTCAGTCTTGTATTACAAACGGGAAGTTTTTGATCAATACATACACACACACACACACACACACACACACACACACACACACACCCTTAACCAGTAGCTGGCAATACAGGGTGGGCATGATGCAAATTAGAAGACAACCACCATGAAACAGAGGTAATATAAGAACCAGAAGACGCTCTTTAACCACCTTCCTTCCAAGTCTCTTTTCTAAGCTATAGGAGAATTTTGAGAACACATGATTAGGGAATAGCAGAATCTGTTTTATTCATCTGACATTTCTGAGAAGGGCTAAAATCATAAAATAGAATACTTAGCAACTGACTTATACAGTAACTTAATGTGGGGGTTAGGTAGGACTACATACGTAAAATGACTGCAGTTCAATTGACATGCTTACTTTCAGACAAATAATTATGGTCACTGAAAGATTTACTCTGCCATAGAACACATATCAACGGAGGAGCCTGACAAATTAGGTTTGGTTTGTGGAGGGGATAGCATGGACCTTCAAAGAGAATTAGAATATGTTTTCTCTGATTACAGAACTGTCAAAAAATACACAAATTCTTGAAGGCAAAAGGGGACATTATGAGGCTTTAGGAGGTCAGAAAACATAAAACATAAATGAATACAAGTTAGAAGAAATCCAAAAGCAGAGTTACACAATCTAACCTTCTCACCCCAAATCAGTTCCTCCTTTTTCTTGCCACTTCAACATTGATGAAATGTAGAGTAATCGAAATTTACTCTGGAGACACACCAAAGGACTCCAAAAGGCCATGCAGGGAATTTCAACTAAAATTGAAAAGCCACACAGAGTTCTGCAAAGAAAAACACACCACAAATCAAAACCTTTACGATAAAAGTTTCATTAGCATCTGCAAGTTTACTAAGCTCACAGAACAACTTGTGCCAATTCTACCACTACCAGAAAAAGAAGACTAGGCTAACAGATCAACAAAAAAACAAAGCAGCAGACTCACTTCAACGAAAGCTCCAAAGCATCACCAAAGAACAGCAGGCCGCACAGGGACTGCTGTTTTTTGTTTGTTGCAACTGGTGGGTTTCATTTTTGGCAAAACTTTTCACATCTTCCTAAATTCAAGTTACCAATTTCACCTGTTCACAGGACACGTCTAAAAGGGCCAGGCTTAGTCCCAGCGGACCACCTAGAGTTGCATTAAAAACAGCACCGCGCTGGGGGAAACATTAGTGGGAAAGGGGTTTTAGAAAAAACACACAAAAAACCGACCAGGCAAGGCCAACAAGGGCACATCTGGTTCCCACCTCTCCACGGCAACCAAGACACTTAGGGTTTCAGGGGAACACTCTGGGCTCCCCCAGGGGCAGAAAACACCGCCGCAATCAATTCCCAAGAATATACAGGGTGTCCCCCCCCAAAAAATGCACACACACTTTAACAGCTGACTGCTGCAGCCTCTACTGCATCTTGAGAACGAGGCGATTTCAATAAGCACCGCATTCAAAGCGTGTGTTGCATACACTTGGGGGGACACCCTGTACGGCCCGTAGCCGGGGCGAAGGCACGACGTACAGAGCCAAGCGGGATGTGAAAGCCGCGGCCCGGGCG